GCGGGCAAGAGCTTGGAGGCAGCGTCCAGGACAGCTTCTTGGTAATCACCCACCTTGGTGTCCATGACTGAGGTAGTTTGGGGGGCCTCCCCGATCTTCAGTAGCTTCAGAGAAAGCCCTGGAGTATCACCCACTTTGCTGCTGTAGCCTGAGCTTCTTGAGATTGGCAGAAGCTCCTAAGAAAGCTCTTGGGAATCCACTTTGGTGCCGCAGGCTGGCGTTTGCTTCAACGGTCACCATTCCCTTAGCCCTTCCAACAGCTGCATGTGCCTCTGCCTGCCTGTTCTGAAAGCATTCATACTGGAATATACAGAGCAGCTTCTGTTTCTGTACTGAGCTCTGAAAGGTCAAGTACTGACCATATTTATAGGATCTGTCCTCCTGTGCAGACTTTGATGAGAAGGTCTGAACTGTTATTGAAAACAATGAACTCTTCACATGTATATGGATTTCTCTTCTTCATTCATCTCTGATGAGCAAAAGGATGGGAGTTTCAATTGAAGTCCTTAATACCTTTTTTACGTTTATGGAGCCTTCTCTCCCATGTGGATTCTGAGATGAACACGAAGATCTGAATTTCCAAACGAAGCCCTTACTCCACTCCTCACATTCACGGTCTTTTTCATTCTTATCACCTTCGTTATAGCTATAGGATTGATCCCCTGAGAGAGCTCTCTGATGAGTGTGGAAAACTCGGCTGTATGCAAAATCCTTTCTAAATACACAGATTTGTAGGGCTTCTCTTCCTTGTGGACTCGAATGAATGTGAAGGTGTTTGCTCTCTCTCAAGCTTTTTCTACCCTTATTCACAGTAAGTCCTCTCTCCTGACTGCAAACTGAGTGGACTGAAGAATATCACTTCACCTGAAACACTTTCCCCTCTCACTGCATTTTAGGATTGCTCTCCAAGGTGCATCCTCTAGTGGACAAGATGGGTGCTCTGATTAAATCCCTCTCCACACTCTTACTTGTTTAGAATTTCTTTCCTATCCTCCCTGATGAACACAAAGAAGTGACCTAAAACCAAATCCCTCAGCATGTACATTATACCTGTAACACTATTCTTCCAGTGAGAATTCAGTGATGGCTGTAAGAGATGATTTCCTTCTAAATCCCTTACCATGTGTGATATTCATGTTGTTTTCTTCCTGAGGGAATAAATTGATGTCTGGGAATATATGAGCTGATCAAAATCATAACAAGTATGCTCTCTGACTGTAACGGAATTAAACTAGAAATGAAACTAAAAAACAAAACAAGTTAAAAAAAAACACAGGAAAATCTCCAAACATTTGGAAATGGAATGAAAATGAAAATACAACATATTAAAATCAATGGGTACTGGGGCTGGCCCCATGGCTTAGCGGTCAAGTGCACATGCTCTGCTACTGACAGCCCAGGTTCAGAACCCCGGGCACGCACCGATGCACCACTTGTCTGGCCATGCTGAGGCAGCATCCCACATACAGCAACTAGAAGCATGTGCAACTATGACATACAATTATCTACTGGGGCTTTGGGGAGAAAAAGGGAAAAAAAGGAGGAGGATTGGCAATAGATGTTAGCTCAGGGCCGCTTTTCCTCAACAAAAAGAGGAGGATTGGCATGGATGTTAGCTCAGGGCTGATCTTCCTCACAAAAAAAAGGGGGGGTTACTGAGAGGGAAATTTATGCCACTAAATGCTTACATTAGAAAGAGGAAAGATCTCAGAACAATAATTGAAGCTCCCACTCAAGGAATTAGAAAAAGAAAAGCAAAATAAATTGAAAGCAAGCACAAGAAAGGAAATAATAGAGAGCAGAAATAAATGTAACTGAAAACAGAAAAATCAATGAAACTAAAAGCTGATTCTTTGAAAAGATCAGTAAAATTGATAAGCTTCTAGCAAGGCTGACAAAGATAAGACAGCACACATTACCAATATCAAGAATAAAATGGGGGATATAACTACAGATCCTACAGCTAATAAAAACACAATAAAAGAATTCTGTGAAAAACTCTACCCATGTAAATTCAACAACTTAAATGAAATGGACCAATTCTTGAAAACAAACTATCAAAATTCACCCAACATGAAATAATCTGAATAGTTCTATAACTATTAAAGAAATGTAATCCATAATTTAAAAGTTTCCAAAAAAGAAATCTCTAAGCCCAGATGTTTCACTCGAGAATTCTGCCAAACATTTGAAGAAGAATCAGCACCAATTATACACAATCTCTTTCAGAAAATAGAAGAGGCCAATATTATCCTGATACCAAAACCAGAGAAAGGCAATACCCCAAAAAAGAAAGAACAAAGAAAACTACAGACTAAATAAACTGTAAAGTGAAAATTTGAAGCAATCAAAGAAATTTGATTATTTATTATGTTAGGTATGATAATGGCCCTGTAGTTTTGTTAAAAAAAAAAATAGCCTGTAGTTAAGAGATGCCTATTGAAGTAGGTAGGTGTGAAATGATATGAGGGATTTGCTTTTAATTACATCAGCATATGAGGGAAAAAGGGATAGATTAAGCAAATGTGGCAAAATCTTGATCATTGTTGGATTTGGGTGATGAATATTGGGGGTCCATTACATTTTTTCTTTTTGAGTATTTTTGAAATTTTTCATAATTAAGAATTAAAATCTTGAATTTTGAGAACTGTTCAAATCCTGCTACTTGTGTGGACTAAGGCGATGGTTTTAACCTCCCTGAGCCATTTCCTCACGTTACAATGGGAATAACATCACTTACCTCCCTGAGGCTTAAACACACCAAGAATAGTGCCCCTGCAGTATCCCTTAATGGATGCTAAACTCCGTTCATAAGAAAGACATATCTATTCTCTGAGGATGAACAAGGTATTTAACAAAGAAAGGAAATCTCACTTCCCTGGAATTTGTTGAACTGCACCTTTTGGAACAGAAGGCAAAAATGACAGACAAGGATCCATAATACCAGGTCTGCCTGACCCTCCCCAGCCAGGATGGCATCAGTGGGGCTGAGTGGAGAGCGGAATTTCCACCTTCCCACCTCACCCCCACCACCAACAGAAATGAGTCCATCCCAGTCAGTGCTCCAATTCCCCCCACTAGGGTGGTGTCAGCAGACTGAACAGGGACGAGTGTTCATCCCCATCCAGCAGCGAGGAGGCAGTGCCAGTTGGCTCTCTGCATCTTATCCCCACCCCCTACACACACACACACACACACACACACACTGTGTCAAGGGGGCCCAGAGGACAGTTGAACTTCCACCCCACTTGGACCTATGTACAAAACCTAAACAGGGTGAACGCCTGCTAAAAAAGATTAAATGGAATCCAAAGTCTTGCAACATAATACCCAAAATACCCAGGAAACAATAAAACAAAAAAACCACTCACCATACCAAGAACCAGAACAATCACAACTTGAAGGAGACAATACACTCAACAGACATAAAGACCAAGATAACTTAGATGTTGGGATCATCTGACAGGGATTTTAAAGTAGTAATCCTCCTTTTTGTCTCAGCTGGTTTGAGTTGGGTTTTCTATTTCTTACAACTGAAGACATCCTAGCTGACATAAACAACCATGAGCTGTGGTACTCACCCTCACGTCTGGTAATGACAAAGCAGAGCATTATTGGCCCTGGATTTCTGACGGTAACATGAAACCTGAGATAACATGGAACTTGAGTATCCAGCGTTGTGGAAGGTAAGGTTAAGAAAAAAAATTGTGGGAAACTGCCCCCTACCTCCAGTCAATTTAGAGTAAACCAGTCAACCAAGCAAATCTGAAAACCACTGAGGCACCTGAGAAGCATGGGGTGGTCCAAGATGCTTGGTGCCTTAATCGCTTCGTTCAACATCCAAAATGGACATTATATGTTCCCTTTTTTGTTGTTGTTGTTGAGGAAGATTCGCCGAGTTAACATCTCTTTTTGTATGTGAGCCACTGCAACGGCATGGCAATTCACAGACGAGTGGTGTGGGTCTGTGCCTGGGAGCCAAACCCAGGCCACCAAAGTGGAGTGCACCAAACTTAACCACTACGCCGCTGGGGCTGGCCCTGTTCCCTCTTTTTTGCACACTCTCTTCTCATGAAGCTTCATGGAATTAAAAATGTTTCTCAGGGCGGCCCCATGGCTTAGAGGTTGGGTGCGTGCACTCCACTGCTGGCGGCCCGGGTTCGGATCCCGGGCGCGCACCGACACACCGCTTCTCCAGCCATGCTGAGGCCGCGTCCCACGTACAGCAACTAGAAGGATGTGCAGCTATGCCATACAACTATCTACTGGGGCTTTGGGGAGAAATAAAATAAATAAAAATCCTTAGAAAAAAAAATAAGTTTCTCTTTTTCCATTCAGTCTGTTCCTGTCACAAAAGACCCCCCCCCTCCAAAAAAGATAGTAAAACTTATGTGACACACAATTGATGGTACACTGCACAGAGAAAGTCTTCAATGATAAGATAAGAACTTTAGCCCATGACTGCTTGAAAAAAGAAACTGAGCAGAGGACAGGATCTAACTGCAAAAACCTTACACTCAAACTGCAGATTGCCTGATTTTATATATTTTTATTAAATGATCATTTCCTTGAATTAAGTTTTAAGGCTTCTTACAAGAATCCTTTTCCTAGTACAATTTATTATGACTAACTGGGGTTGAGTTCACTAAAAATTTAAAATGTTTGTCCTATTTATAATAGGTTTTCCTCTCTATCAAGTTAGACAATTCCAGGGCACCTACTATTTGTTAGGCACTGGTTCAAGGACCTGGTCATACAGCAGTACACAGACTTCCTGCCCCCATGGAGCTCACATTCCAGGGGATACGGATTTTGTCACATCCATCATTATATTTTGCTAAAGTCCCACTCTTCCTGATCATTTTTAAGGCCTCCCTCCAGTGTAGATTCTATGGAATGTGGAGGTTCTGACAAACTTATTTTACCACTCTTGCAGGCTTTCTCTGTTGTGCATTCTCTTAAGAACTGTGACATTTTCAGCTCTGTCGGAAACAACCGCAAATAGGTTTCCTCCAATGGCATTCAGCTGACTGTAAAAAACTCAGCTCAGTCCTGAATTCTTAAAACACAACAATTTTATAAGTATTCTCTGCTATGTGGGTTTTCTGATGAAAATGAGAAGCCTAAGTTCTGAAGAACACCTTTATCACACTCATCAGGTGTATTGGATTTATCACCATTATGGACCCTCTGATGAACCTGAAGACACGAACTCTTACTAAAGCCCTTACCACAGTCAAAACATTTGTAGGGCTTCTCTCCAGTATGGACTCTCCGATGGGCTTGAAGATGTGAGGTCTGACTGAAGCTCTTCCCACACATGCCACATTTATAGGGTTTCTCCCCCGTGTGGATCCTCTGATGGACATGCAGATATGAGTTCCAGATGAAGCCTTTCCCACATTCTTCACATTTGTAGGGTTTCTCTCCTGTATGGACCCTCTGATGGGCTTGAAGGTGTGAGCTCCAACTGAAGCCCTTCCCACACACATCACATTTGTAGGGTTTCTCTCCAGTGTGGACTCGCTGATGGTCTTGAAGGTGTGAGCTCTGACTAAAGCCCTTCCCACAGGTCTCACATTTGTATGGCTTCTCTCCTGTGTGGACTCTCTGATGGGCCTGAAGATGGGAAACCTGACTGAAGTCCTTCCCACATGTGTCACATTTGTAGGGTTTCTCTCCTGTGTGGACTCTCTGATGGGCCTGAAGATGGGAATTACGGCTGAAGGTCTTATTGCACACATCACATTTGTATGGTTTCTCTCCAGTGTGGATTCTCTGATGGGCTTGAAGATTTGAGGCCTTACTGAAGTCCTTACCACATACCTCACATTTATATGGTTTCTCTCCAGTGTGAACTCTCTGATGAGGGCCAGAATTCTGATTAAATATCCTGTCACAGGCCTCCCATTGGTAGGTTTTGTCTCTAGGCTGGGCACTCAGATGGGCTCGAAGTTGTGATTTCTGACTGAAGCCTTTATCACACATCTCACATTTCCAGGATTTCTCTCCAGTGTTGTCTACACAGTGAATGTTAAGATCTAAGCTAGGACTGGAGCCCTTCCCACACCTGTCACACCCATACAGATTCTCTCCTGGGGGAGTGGGCTCATGAGTGGGAAGAGGGGGGTTCTGATTGAAGTTCTCAACACACCCCTGACACATGTAGGCTTTCTCTCCTGGGTTGACTCTCTGATGAGTTTGCAGATGTGAGCTCTGGCTGAAGCCCACACCACACTCCTCATTCCTACTGCATTTCTCTCCTGTGTAAACACTCTGATGAATGCGAAGCACTGAGCTGTAACTGACGCCCTTCCCACACTCACTACATACATGGAGCTTCTCTCCTACATGCAATTGATGATGAAGTTCAAGATTAGAGCCAAGGCTGAAGCCTTTTCCATTCTCATCAGAGCTTTGCTCTCCTGCGTGGATTATACTCTGCTGAGACGATTTCTTCACAAACTCTTTTCCACAATTATTGTGGCTGTAAGCCTTCTCTCTTTTGGGTACTTCCTGATCATCATGGTGATGAGAGATCCTTCTCGTAACACAATGATCACATTTACACAGTTTATTTTTTATGTCAATTTGCTGACACCTACTCTGATAATTTTGTGACTCTCTCAGATACATTCTCTTCCAGAAATCCCAAGTGGTTTTAACTGGAAACTCTTGGTTTTTGATACTACTGGAACTCTCCCCTTGAAGCTTTATTCTGTACTTCTCATCTTCACAAACCTGAGTAGATTCTCCTGCCCACACCTGACAGAGGGAATCACCTTGTTTTGGCGACTTGGACTTCTTGCCTTGCCGATTTATTATAGAGTCTTGATTTCTGGTTAACTGACTTGTAAATTGTTCCCATATTTGCCAGAACATAAGATCTTCATGTAAAAGGTATCTTAATCCTACTTCTTGAAGAGTCTCTAGCTCATGGTGATTCTTGTGTCCTGGAAGGATAAAGAGAATTCAGAGATGAAAATGGGGACAAGTGAATGCTTCTTCAGAGAGAAAAATATTTCACAGGTCCACCACATTGGGAGACTTTATTTAATCAGTAGAGAGCTCAGCTTGACTTTACCATTGGTTTTTTTCATGCCTATGGAAACAGACGTGAAAAGTAGGCTCCTATCCACTAAGGGCTAATGACAGTCATTTAGAACTACACCAAGACTTACGTATGAGGTCAAAATTAGAAATACGAGGCTACAGAGCAGGGGACATTCTCAGCAAAAGTGAAAAAAATATATTTGCATAGGGAAGTATCTCCTCTGTCCTGATAATGAACTCATGAGATGATATCTTTATTACCTTAATTTAGCCAGTAAACACACATTAATAAACAAGCTAGATTTGAGAAAATTCCCCTTTATTTCAATGAAGTCCTAGTACATAATATTCAACGTAAACATTATAACTGGAAAAAAACCTAGAAAACTTATTCCTATAACTGACACAACTTACGGGAGTAAAAATCCTATGATAACTCTTGCCACGTAATTTGGCTCAATTTTCTGATGAACCTGAATGGCTAAAATTATCTTCCAGGTAGGTATGCATCTGTACATACTAAAAGGTACTGTGGTAGCCAGCACACAAGATGGTCCCGATGAGCCCTGCCTCCTGGCATCCACACCCCACTAAAGCCCCTCCCACCACGTAGCACGTTTGGTCTGGGAAGCCAATAAAATATGGCAGAAGTGATAGTAGGTCACTTCCAAGGTTAGGTCATAAAAGACACTGTGGTTTCTGTCTTCCACTCTCTTGGGTATAACCAGCTTGGGAAAACCAGCTGCCATGTTTTGAGGACGCTCAAGCAGCTCTAGGGAGAGGCCCACTTGGCAAGGATCTGAGGTTTCCTGCCAACACCCAGTGAAGGAGTCCATCTTGGAAGCAGGTCCTTCAGTCCCACCAAGCCTTCAGAGGCCTGCAGCTCTGGTGGAGGACTTGACAGCAACTTTATGATATCCTGACCCAGAATCACCAAGCTAAGCTGACTCTAGATTCCTCACAGAAACTGTAAATAAATGTTTCTCGTTTTAAGCCAAGTTTACGAGTAATTTGTTACACAGCAATAGATAACTAATAGAAATATACCATAGAAATTACACCATAACTAATTAATTTACCATAGAAATTATAATTAGGTTAGATATTCACCAGAAGATTAACAATGTTCTGAAATAATCCTTCAATCACACCAGCTTTTTCTCCACTTGTGAGCTATCTCCAGGAGGAGGGAAGACAGATACACTTAGCACCCTTCTTAGGGAGCTTCTGTTTGTAAGGATCCTCAAGGAAGAAGAAACCCTTTTGTTTGTGCTTCTGTGCAGTGAAAACAGGCCTCAAGGATATTCTTTGAGATGGAGCAGGGCACCTAGGTGCAAAACCCTGGGATATTCTGACATTTGCCAAAAGAACTTTTAATAAGGAAGTGGAAGGCAGAAGATGCTGTCAGATTTGTTCAGCTCTCTGAGGGGTGTGAGTTACAAAGGTGCGTCCATTTGTCAAAACTCATCAAATTGCATACTTAACATGTGCACATTTAAAGTTTACCTCAATATAGAGAGAACTGTAAAACAAATAAGAAGTCATTTTACACCTTGAAAATTCATGGAGCTGTACGTTTTATAATTTTGCTCAGTTGTCTGCATATAAGATATATTTCAATAAAAAGTCACCCAAAATTGAAAGCTAAAAATAAAGATTTGTTCAAGGAGGTAAAGCAGTTGAAGAGGTACCTATTAAGAAAAAAACAGACAATGGTAATAACTGGGATCAGAATTCCCAAGGTTAGGTTTGTACAGAAAATTACGGTAGCGAGTCAAATGGACCCAGCGCCCAACACGCCTGACTGCATGAAACCTTCACGCAGCAGGAAGGTACGAGAAAAGAAAGGATCAAAGGACTGGAAAGATTCCCCCCACTCCTCACAACAGCCAGGGCCTAATCCATCAGACTAGCAGCTAGACTGTCATGGGTTTTTTGTTGGTTTGTTTAGCTTTTAGTGCTTATATCCAGTAGGAATGACTGTAATTACTGTATTTTAGGCTGGGTTTACCTGAGGGATACACAAAGATAGATGAAGGAAGGAGGGAGTGAAGTAAAGGGGGACACGAAGGGAAGGCAGGAAGGAGAGGTGCAGGTAGGGCGGGGGGACATCACTGGGAATCTGGACGAGGAGGCACTTACCAATGGCCATGCAGACAACACAGGTTAGGACATGCTGTGAGGGAGCCTTAAATGGGACCACCTACCCATTCATCCATCTATCCATCCAGCCAGCCAGCCAGCCAGCCATGCATGCATCCATCCATCCATTCATCCATTCATTCACTCATTCATTGAACCAGTATTTAATGAACATATACTATGTGTCAAGTCTATTTCAGGCACTGAATATACAGCAATAAAGAAAACAGGTCCAATCCCTTCTCTTGTGAAGCTACACTCTAATGGGGAGAGAAAGACCACAAACAAGTAAACAAAATATAATACATTAATATGTCAGCTGATTAATGATTAGACAAGAAATAAGGCAGACGGGTATTTAAACAGGGTGGTCAGAGCAGGCTCTGTGATGAGAGGACATATGAGCAGACATGAGTGAAGTCAGGTGGGGAGCTGGGAGGATGGACGGGGAAAGAACATCCCAGGCAGATGGGAGAGCAAGAGAACAGCCGGGAGTTCTGCAGCAGCACGCTCGGCACGTCGAAGATACAGTCCCATGTGGCTGGAAGAACGAGCAAATGGCGAAGGAGAGGAAATTAATCCAGAGAGAGGGTGGTGGCCAGATCACGTAGGACCCTGGAGGTCTCTGTAAGGATTCTGGATTGTACTGAGGGAGATGGGAAGTCACGGGAGGGTGACCACAGGGGTGACGGGATCTGACTTACGTGATCTGGCTGCTGTGTGGAGAATGGACTGCAGGAGTGCAGAGGCAGGGAGGCAGTGATGAAGCTGTGGCAATAAAGCAGGGACTCAGCTGGGGTGGCAGTCAGGGGGTGGCGGGAAGGAGGGCACCTGGGCTGTACCCTGCAAGGACTCAGAGCTGCAAGATGCTCACCTGAACACCCATCTCCTCGGGTTTCTGTCTCCATCACCCAAAGCTTCTCTTCCCTCCCCAACTGTGCTCTCACGTCTAATTTGAAGGGCTGATATCCTGTGAAAAAGAAATGGCACATGTATAAGGTGAACACATTCAAGGCAAAAATTTTAATTCCAATACTATAATCTTCATGTGCTCTAAGTAGTATTATTTCAAATTCTGATCCTGACCTGTTGCAATAAAGACCTTTCATGCTGTGACCCAGTACACAAACACACAGATGTACATCACTGAATCAGGTGATAAATGATCTGATCCTGCCCATTATCTACTTCTATCATGTCTTCTTTCCTATTTTTCACTCACAATTTTTGTTGTACTGTATGCAGTTCCTGAGAAGGAGATATGATATTTCTGTACTATTTTATTAAACACAATAATGATGTAACCCCCCAATTGATTTTAAATCCCACCAAGATGTCACAACTGCAATTTGAAAAAAACAGACAAGGTATGGACAAGATGTCCCACAGGAATTAGGAAATTCAGATCCCCAGGCTCAGGGAAGCATTTCAAGAGTCCCAAGTCTTAAACATTGGAAACCAAGACACTCTAGGGGCTGGCACTGAGTTAGAGAGGGCGCCTGTCCTCACCCACTGAGAGCAGGTTCCTGAAGTTCTCCAGCATCACGTCTCGGTACAGCTGCCTCTGGGTAGAATCCAGCAGCCCCAGCTCCTCCTCGGTGAAGGTCACAGTCACGTCCTTGAACGTCACTGCCTCCTACAACATCAAGCACGTGTGACCTCAATCTTATGACCAATGGGCACTGGGCGAGGGGCACCACTGAGTGGGTGGAGAGGATGAGTGGGAAGTTGTTCTTGATTCTGAGGGCCGGCAATCTACCTTACATAGTTTCCTCCTCTTCTCCATCCTGCATGTCAATTCCATACACTAATTTTCCACAGTCACATCAAAAGTACATGCAATTAAAACATAATCCCTGTATATTTAACTTGGTGTCATTTGTGATTATTCCTACAGTAACCACTCTAGAACTATAACTCTTGAATCTTGGGGTATATACATTTTATAATTTAATTGATACTACCAAATTGTCCCAGAAATCTCAGGTCAATTTAGTCCCAACAGGGTCTGATAGTCCTTGTCTTTCCTTTCTTACTCATACATTCATTAAGCCTGGGTACTGTCACTTTGTTACAATGTGACAAACCAACAGGTCACCCTTCCTGGGGAGCTATGAAATCGGTCCTCTGTGCTCTCAAGGCACTATGACAGCATCAATGACACTATGACAGCATTTGAAGTGTCAAAGTGCACAATTTTTCATGCCAGGGTACCTCAATTTAAATCTCAAAGCTCCGTCCGTCACAAGCTGCATGACCTTAGACACACAAATCTCTTAATTTATTTCCTCATCTGTGTGATGGTACCCATATCAGAAGATTCTTATATATATAAATGAATAAATATACATAAAGTTCTTGAACTGTACTGTCCAATTCAGTAGCCATTAGTCACATTGCTATGTAAAATTAATTTGAAATTACATAAAATTAAAAATTCACTCCCTCAGTTGTACTAACCACATGCCAAGTGCTCAAGAGCCACAGGTGGCTAGTGGCTACCATATTGAATAGCACAATACAGAACACTTCCATCATCACAAAAGTTCTACTGGACAGCAGTCTTAGAACAGATACACCTGGCAGATAGTAGGTCCTCAACGTATGTTAGCTTTTATCAATATCATTATGATTGGTATGGTTAAGTGTGTGATTACATTTTTATAGTAATTTAGTCACTCCTGCTTTCTTTTGATTAATGTTTGCATGGTATATCTCTCTCCATCCTTTTATTTTCAACCTGCCTGTACCATTATAT